ATCTCGGCTCACCACAACCTCTACCTCCTAGGTTCAAGTGATTCTCCTGCCTCAGCCTCCCGAGTAGCTGGGATTACAGGCATGCACCACCAAGCCAGGCTAATTTTGTACTTTTAGTGGAGACGAGGTTTTTCCATGTTGGTCAGGCTGGTCTCAAACTCCCAACCTCAGGTGTCTGCCTACCTCGGCCTCCCAAAGTGCTGGGATTACAGGTGTGAGCCACCACGCCCAGCCTTTTAGATTTCTTAAAAGCATGTTTTTAAGAAACAATATGGCTGTATTCTGGTTTTTTAAACCCGGTATGATAGTCTGTCTTGGATAAGAAATTCAGCCATTCATACTTTTTGTAATGTATTTTGGTTTTGCTCTGAATCTTGGTTTATCAACTATTATATTAATATTTGAACATATTATATCCATTTCAATTTATACCGTAAATCACACTTTCACTTTCTCAGTTCCTTTACCTCTTCTGGTTTGTTCAGAAAAGAAAGGTCTGAAATGTGAAATCGAATTACAGGCACAAATGCCAGAGAGTGTAACTGCGAACTGTCTATACTACCCCATAAATACACCTAAATGGGGAAAAAAATCATTTACTGAAATAGTCTGAAGATGCACTTGATTTCTTCCTCCAGATACTCTATATTTTATCCCTGTATCAAGCAGCAACACCAGAAAATGGCTTAGAGCAGTGCTGTCCAACTTGGTAGCCACTAGCCACATGTGGCAACTAAGCACTTAAAATGTTACTATGTGACTTATGAAACAGATTTTAATTATATTTCAATATCCACATATGGCTAGTGGTTACTCTACTAATCTACACACTATACCAGACTACAATATTTTGATTCTCTGAAAACCTATATTCACTGAGTTTTCTCATAGCTCTTGAGTCCTTTGTTCCCACTGAAGAACTACTGAAAGAGGCTGAATTTCTTTTATTGAAGTTATTGGAAGGTTGTACACTTCATGGCCCATCCAGAGTGCAAAAAGAGAACAATTTTAGACTCACTGCCAGGAAGTTTTCATGCCCCATTCATAATCAATGCTGTTTTTCTTTATGGAAATATAAATCATGTGACAGATGTCTGCCTTGTGCAATGGCTATCAAAAATATTCAAATTTACAGCTCAATTTTGATAACTATGAAAGACCATAAAACTTGTACTTACCTATATATTAAATCATGCTATCAGTCTGCTATTGTCTATTTTCCTGTTGATTTCTATATTTCCATTCTAATGACCCTTAAAAGCCTCATACAATGCATTATAAATAAAGCTGATAATAACAACTAAACAACTCACCTGGGATCTGTTCATTTTCTGCTGGTCTTGGGAAAATGTAAAGGTAATGCTGGGAAAGAGGAGCTAAGAATAAAGTTAGGAGAAATCTGGCTCACCTTGCTGCTCCTGGATCCAACTTCCTAAAATGCTACACAGAAGAGACCATTTGAACAATGTGGAGACATCTCTATGACCAGATTGTGTTGAGTTTAGACATGCAATTTTTCACTGGGTGAAAGTAAACACATGTATCCCAATGATTAATAATTTATGTCACTAAGACAAAAAAATTTAAAATACAAACAATTTATAAATGACAGGATCCTAATATAAAAGTGTCTTCATTAAAACTGATGTGGTAGGAAACACTCAGGTTGTACTGTTTATCTGTTTTCCTATGAATATAATACTGGGAATATTGTTGAACAATTTACAGAAACTCTAAAAAAGAGAATGAATGCTTCAGTACAAGATTTTTCAATATTTGTTCGAATTTAATTACAGTTTCATACTCTTTTGATAAGACTTGTTTCAGCTGTGCAAAGGAATAAAGAAACCACGAAACTTTCTTTTTTTGAAACAGAGTCTCGCTCTGTTGCCCAGGCTGGCATGCAGTGGCACGATCTCAAATCACTGCAACCTCCACCTCCCAGGTTCAAGCGATTCTCCTGCCCCAGCCTTTCGAGGAACTGAGATTACAGGCACCTGCCACCACGCCCAGCTAATTTTTTGTATTTTTAGTAGAGACAGGGTTTCCCCATGTTGGCCAGGCTGGTCTCGAACTCCTGATCTCAGGTGATCCACCTGCCTCGGCCTCTCAAAGTGCTGGGATACAGGTGTGAGCCACCGCGCCCGGAATAAACTCTTATCTTGATCAGTAACAAAGGAGTGACCTGTAACAATTCACTGATTCTCTCAGGCTCCATATATTTTATCTTTCAAATAAGGCAGAAATAGTTAAATACTGTATAATCTTCCTGCACTACCATCTTGTGATTCTAAGGTAAGAATAAAAAGAGAATAAAGGCCAGGTGCGGTGCCTCATGCTTGTAATCCCAGCACTTTGGGAGGCCAAAGCAGGCAGATCAGCTGAGGTCAGGAGTTCAAGACCAGCCTGGCCAACATGGCGAAACCCTGTCTCTACTAAAAATACAAAAATTAGCTGGGTCTGGTGGCACACACCTGTAATCCCAGCTACTCAGGAGGCTGAGGCAGAAGAATCGCTTGAAGCCAGGAGGCGGAGGTTGCAGTGAGCCGAGATCAGCCCACTGCACTCCAGCCTGGGCAACAGAGTGAGACCCCATCTCAACAAAATAATAAATAAAAATATCAATTATTGGCCAGGCATGGTGGCTCACACCTGTAATCTCAGCACTTTGGGAGGCCAAGGTGGGCAGATCACTTGAGGTCAGGAGTTCCAGACCACCCTGGCCAACATGGTAAAAATCTGTCTTTACAAAAAATACAAAAATTAGCTGAGCATGGTGGCACATGCCTATAGTCCCAGCTACTTGGGAGGCTGAGGCACAACAATCACTTGAACCTGGGAGGAGGAGGCTGCAGTGAACTGAGATTGTGCCACTGCACTCCAGCCTGGGCAACAGAGTGAGACTCTGATTCAAAAAAAAACAAAAAACAACAAAAAAAGAAGGGCTGGGTGTGGTGGTTCACGCCTGTAATCCTAACACTTTGGCAGGCCAAGGCGGGTGGATCACCTGAGCTCAGGAGTTCAAGAACAGCCTGACCAACATGATGAAACCCCATCTCTCCTAAAAATACAAAATTAGCCAGGCATGGTGGCGCACGCCTGTAATTCCGGCTACTTGGGAGGCTGAGGCAGGAGCATCGCTTGAACCCGGGAGACAGAGGTTGCGGTGACCCAAGATCACGCCATTGCACTCCAGCCTGGGCAATAAGAGCGAAACTCTGTCTCAAAAAAATAACAACAAAAGAAAAGAAAAAAAGATAAAATGTCAATTATTTGCTGTTCAATGAAACATCACTTCTAGGCAAAAGATTTCTCATCTTTATTGGGTGTTCTCACCCCAACCTGGGTTGTTTCTGCTATGCAATGAGTCCAAGAAGGTGAAGGTTTCTGAGCCTTCAGGATGTTGACAAGGGTTTCCTCTATGTTGTCTCTCTGATGTTTAGCAAAGTCAGGATTCTGGTAAAAGGTTTCATTATATTCATAGGGTTGCTCCCCTGTGTGTGTTCTCTGATATGCTGTGAGGGATGACTTCTGGTAGAAGGTTTTCCCACATTCACTACATTCATAGAGTTTTTCTCCTCTCTGTTTTCTGATATACAGAAAGCTTTGGCTTACGGCAAAATGTACTAGCATGCTGATTAATTTTATAGGCATTCTTTCCTATATGTGTTTCTTGATGCTGAGTGAAATTTGGCTTCTTGCAGAATACTTTCAAATCTCTATTACAGTCAAAAGTTTTCTCTCCTCTGTAACTTCGTAGAATGAGGAGTGATTTCTTGCCAAAACTATTCTCTCGCATTACACTCATAGTGTTCCATCTCCATTAACTCTGTGGTGTTTACTTACAGGTGGCTTCTCACCAGACCTCCTCTCACATTCATTGAATTCATAGGAACTCTCCCTTATGTGAGTTATCTGATGAACAATGAATATTGGTCTATCGGAAAGGCTCTCACATGTCCATTATATTCACAGGGTCTCCCATGAGCACACTCTCTTATGGGTAATGGAGGCTGCCTCTTCATGAAAAGCCTTCCCACACTGATTGTATTCAAAACACTGCTTCAGAGTTTGATGCCTAAATAGGTCCTCATTCTGAAAGACAGCTTTCCCATTTCCATCATATTCCAAAGGTTTCCCTCTGGCATAAGGATTTTCACGCTTCATACAAAGGAAAACTTTCCCATGTGCATTACATTCAGAAGGGTTCCTTATAAAGGAGCTTCTATTACTAATAATTAATTCCAAAATATAATTCAAATTCACTCCATATGAGTCACAGTTGCCACGTATTTTTCTTAATAGAATGGGGTTTGTGTCACGATAAAATGTTTTTCCTAATACACCATTTCTGTCCATAGTCAGTGTTTTGTTGCTGAAAAAATCAACTTTCTGCAAATGCTGGTCTTGATTTTCCTGTCTCTTCTCCAACAGGTTATCATCTATGCAGCAGTCTAGAAACAAGAATAAGTTACCACAGATTATAAATGTTAATATATTTCTTATGAAAAGGAGACATATTCACATGCTTTTTTTTTTTTTTTTTTTTTTTTGGCACAGTGTCTGGCTCTGTCACCCAGGCTGGATTGTGCAGTGGTATAATCATGGCTCACTGCAGCCTCAACTTCCCAGCCTCAGGTGATGCTCCCACCTCAGCTTCTCGAGTAAATGGGATTACATGTATGTACTACCATGCCTGGCTAATTTTTTGTATTTTTTGTAGAGATGGAGTTTTTTGCCATGTTATCCAGGCTGGTCTCAAACTCCTGTTGCCCAGGCTGTAATGCAGTGGCAGCATCACAGCTCACTGCAGCCTTGACCTACTGGGCTCAAGAAATCCACCTGCCTCGGCCTCCCAAAGTGCTGAGATTACAGGCATAAGCCACTGCACCCGACCCAGGCTGTTCTTATAACAGGATCATATGCATACCTTTATTCATCTAGAATATCATCATGTAACTCATAGTCTGAGATTTCACTTATATGATCAATTACACTGTAATTACTAGAGTCTACAATGCTTCTGCTTCATCTTCTGATGTGCCTAATAATTGTGAAGAGACTTCCTCTTGTCAATTTTCTACTCTTTGCAATTAACGGAAGAAAATAAAAGTTCTTAACTTCAACTGTGCCCATTGAATTATTAAAAAAAAAAAAAAAGAGAGAGAGAGAGAGAGAGAGAGAGAGAGAGAGTTGGGCGCAGTGGCTCACGCCCGTAATTCCAGCACTTTCGGAGGCCAAGGAGGGTGGATCACCTGAAGTCAAGCGTTCCAGACTAGCCCGGACAACATGGCGAAACCACGTCTCTACTAAAAATACAAAAAGTAGCCAGGTGTGGTGGTGCGCACCTGTAATCCCAGCTACTCAGGAGGCTGAGGCAGGAGAATTGCTTGAACCCAGGAGGCAGAGGTTGCAGTGAGCTGAGATCATGCCACTGCATTCC